GAGACCTGCGGCTCGTAAACACGGCCCCAGAACCTCCTTTCTCCTGCTCAGATTTGCAGTCCCAGCTTTGCCTTTCACCCAATGATGATTTTAAGGCGGTCCAAGGCACCGTGTTCGTGTTCAAGTGTATGCACCCCGCATCCTGCGAGCTTGGGGGTGGCAATGGGAACGAAATGACTGGGCTGGTTGGTGCTTGGTCTGAGGAACAGGGCTCCCAGCCTCTGCGGGGTTAGGTAACCTTGGCTTTGTCTGGGGAAAGTGCCGCAAGCTTTGCGATCCATTTGCAAAGAGGGCAAAGGCTGAAGGGGGGAGAATGGAATCTGCAGGGCCCACCAGGCAGGGCCAGCCTTGGGGCTGGGCTGGGGCAAAGGGCCAGGGGTTCTGGCTTTTTGAGAAGGAACCCTGCCCCTAAGCCTCTCCCCCAGTGTCCAGAGGTGGGCCACAGTAAGGAGCCACATTTCTGGGGGTGGGGTGGGGATGCTTTTGTGTGGGGACAAGAAGGCATGAGGATGCAAGAAATTCTGGGGAGTACAACAATACCCAGGCAGGTGGGAGAAGGTGTACTGGCTTCCTTGGTTATCTTTTGAAAGAGAAGGGCAACTAACCTGGTTGTGGGGCTCCCCGCCCGGGCAGGAAAAGTGGGGAAGAAGTGGCAGACTTGAAGATGTGAGGCAGCAGTGGGCTTGGTAGTCTCGTTCAGGCTGTGGGTTGCTTCTTCCACTCCGGCCCAGTTATGAGCTGCCCACTTAGAATGTTGCTCGGGAGTTCCTGAAAGTTTACTATTGTACTAATGTTTTGTGCAGGTCAGAAAGTTGAGAGAGAAAAAGAGACAGAAAGAGAGAGAACCCTGACACCAAGGGCAAGAGTACCCACCCATCGTGTCATTTGGGGCATTTAAACTAATCTGGCATCAATTACAAATCCTTTCCAGGGCCCACCTCATATGAGTAATGTTTAATACCAGCATTTCCCAAAGCGGCCTGCCTGCCAGTGGGGTCATGGCCAAGGGTACATTTGAAAAGACTGAGAGAAAAAAAAAAAATCTTGATTTTTTTTTTCTTCTTCTCCCTTTAATTTTGTTAGAGGAAATCAAGTCTGATACTCCAACCAGCAATTGGCTCACTGCAAAGAGTGGCAGAAAGAAGAGGTGCCCTTACACTAAGCACCAAACGCTGGAATTAGAAAAAGAGTTCTTGTTCAATATGTACCTCACCCGCGAGCGCCGCCTAGAGATCAGTAAGAGCGTTAACCTCACCGACAGGCAGGTCAAGATTTGGTTTCAAAACCGCCGAATGAAACTCAAGAAGATGAGCCGAGAGAACCGGATCCGAGAACTGACCGCCAACCTCACCTTCTCTTAGGTCCCAGGCCCGTCGGAGGCCAGGATCGGAGAGGGGGCACCGCGTTCCAGGGCCGAGTGCTGGAGGGCTGGGAAGGCGGAAACAAAACCTTCATTGCTCTTTGTTTTTTGTTTTGTTTTGTTTTGTTTCCTGCTAGAATGTGACTTTGGGGTCATTCTGTTCGTGCTGCAAGTGATCTGTAATCCCTATGAGTATATATATATTAAAAAAACTAGCACGTGTAATTTATTATTTTTTTTCATCGTAATGCAGGGTAACTATTGCGCATTTTCATTTGGGTCTTAACTTATTGGAACTGTATAGCATCCATCAGTTCATTCATCCATCCAGCAATGTGACTTTTTCATGTTTTTCCTAATGCAAAAGGTCTGTGTGTGTGGTTAGTCCATGATCTCATGGCGTTTTGAATACATCCAGTACTTAAAAGTACTTAAATTACATATATATTAAAAAAAAAAAAAAAGATTAAGAAAACCCACAAGCTTTGGGGGGAGGGGGACTAAAAAAGCACATTACAATGTATCTTTTCGCAAATGAATTTAGCAATTGTCCTTGGTGAGATGGAATATTGACGACTTATGCCTTGTAGCCTTCCCTTGTGGTGCATCTGTGGTTTGGTAGAAGTACAACAGCAACCTGTCCTTTCTGTGCATGTTCTGGTCGCATGTATAATGCAATAAACTCTGGAAACGAGTTTGCTCCCTCTGCTTTCTGAAATGGACATATGTTACAGTGGGAATGAAAACCTTTGGTGAGATTATCTTCCAGTTAAACTGCTTGTTTGGAGCAGTTGGGGCTGGTGATAGAGAACAGGAGAAGGAAGATGGGAGAAGCTGGAGGAGGCCTAGGGTGCTAAAATTTGGCAGTGGTGGAGGGAGTTATAATCCAGCCTGGGTGTGCTTGTTTTCCTAGCTGGGAATAAGGGGAGTCTTCTCCCCCCTTCGACCCCGCCAAGAGAGTAACATAATTGAATGCTAGATGGGTGTATGTTTCCCTCTAACCAGAGCCTGGTAAGTAAGACTGTGCCCACGCTGCTTTTTTCCTCACAGCTCCCCATTTGTGTGTTTTCCTGTCTTTGGTCTTGGTTGTGTTATTTTTTAATACTTTCAGTGGGGTCTTGGTGATTTCTGGCTGGCGTGCCATCGTCAGGGGCTAGGTTGAAACCAGTCTGGCCCACCTGGAAGCCGCCGGGCCTCCATTACAGGAACAAGGACAGCCAGCAGCTAGCACTGCAACGGATCCAGTTCTGCCCCACCCCCACCCCACCCCCCATCCCAAGCGCAAGACAAGCCAGGCCACAGCGAAGCCGAGGATGGGTGAGTTTTCCCATCCCACTCTGCCCTGGTTTCCTTGTGGATTTCAAGCTCATTAGCTTTTAGTGGCCCACATGAAATTTTCTTAAAATTTTCTGAAAAGATCCCCCCCCCCCAGGTAATGCTCCCTCTATTTAATTATAAAATGCTGGTCGGAGCCACTGTATCTGGGAGGCAAGAAAATGTACAAAAGGTGACTGAAAGGGACTTTGCAAATGAACGTGACTTCCCATGAAGTCCAATGTTCCAGCTGCCGACACAGCTTGGAAAACTCCAGCCACCCTTCACCGAGGGAGTCCAGGCTTATCTAGCCCTGCGTGGGAGAAAGGAGAAGAGGCCTTAGAGGGAAGAGCTGACAGAGAATTCGTTTTCTCAGGTTATGCTGTGATTTCAAAAGGTCTCCACCAGCTTCAAGTAGCTTGACAAAACACATCCTTTTCACTTTTTCTTTTTCTCCCCATGAGACTATCTATTCAGGGACTCTGAGCCTCACAGTTCTCATCCAGGGAGTCTTTGGGAAATTCAGTATTTACTCAGAGTTTTAAACGTCCTCCTGAAAAACCAAGAACCTTCCCCAGTTCCAAGACAGAACCCTTTAGCGGAGCCATTTCCTAGGGGTGGGAGAGAGAAGGCTCGGAATCAATGCCAGGGTGGAAACACTGGAGTAGATTTGCCCGGACCGGGTGCCTGGGTGGCTCAGTCGTTAAGCGTCTGCCTTCGGCTCAGGTCATGATCCCAGGGTCCTGGGATCGAGCCCCGCATCGGGCTCCCTGCTTGGCAGGAAGCCTGCTTCTCCCTCTCCCACTCCCCCTGCTTGTGTTCCTGCTCTCGCTATCTCTCTGTCAAATAAATAAATAAAATCTTTAAAAAAAAAAAAAAAAAAGATTTGCCCGGACCTCCATTGGTTGGGCAGGAGAAGGAGGGCAATTTTAACTTATCCCTTTCCTCCCTGCGATGTGGGGAGCTCCATTAGTTGTTGACAGGGGGCCATGTCTCAGAGGAAAACCTGTGCTACAGGCCAAGGCATCTCCTCTGGAACAAAATCGGAAAGCCATTGGCAAAGGCAATCAATCAGGCCATAAGTAGGCATTTACCCCCTTCCTTTCCGGGGCTCGAGGTGGGCTGGGATCCCTCCAAGGGTGCTCTGAGCAACTTGTCCAGTGAGGAATATATCCTCTGCCGCCTACTCTCGGCCTGCTTTTGTCTCGGCTCCCAGCCGAGCTTCCGAGGCTTTGTACCATGGATTTGGGAGTGACAATGGGCATTCCCTCAGATTCAAGGCTGCCCGGCCTTCTGGAGGGGAAAAGAAGAAGAAGAAGAATTCGGAAGACAGTGGCCCCGAGAACCACCACAAGAAGCGGCCCTGCCCCGGGGAGATGCGCTTCCTGCGGGCCTCTCTCAAGCAGGGTTGGGGCGGGGGGCGGCAGCGGGCCTGCGCTTGCATTTGGGTTCTGCCCTGTGGCGTGTTCTCTTCCAGGGCCTTTCCGGCAGCCCCGGAGAAGACAAGGCATCCTGGCCGCCACTGTCCCCGCGGTGCCTACTCTACAGCCTGCCAGCACTTCCGAGGGCACACACAAGCCCCAGCGGTGGCCGCCGCCGCACCCAGTCGGCGGGCCCGGCTGCCCCAGCTCCCCCTCTCGGGCCGCCGCGTGTGCTCAGCCTCACGTCGGGGGTGTGTGTGGCTGCGCGGGCGTGTGTGAGCGTGGTAGGGGGAGGAGGCCCTCCGAGCTGCTCCATCCGTCCGTTTTATTAGGGACACATTAATCTATAATCAAATACACCTCATAAAATTTTTATTGAAAGGCATAATATCATTACAGAGGTCTTCCACCTGTTTTAAACAACACGACAAGCTGTGAGAGAGCGTGTGTGGGTCTGTGTAGGGAGGGGTGGGTTTGGGTAGGGAGAGAGGCACAGGGAAAAAACTCCCCTCGGGCGCCAGGGGGCCGCGTCTGAAGGCCGGCCTGCCTCGGGCCGCACCCCACCCTTCGTGCCCCGGGCTGCTCCGGGCTCTGGCCCCGCGCTCGGTGCGCCCGGGACACGCGGCCGGCAGCTCGGAGTCCAGGGGCTGGAGAGGCAGCCTAGGTCTGAACTGCAAGACCGAAGGCGGCAAGGAGAGACGAACAAATAGTCCCCAGCGCCTCCTCCGGCCACGGTCGGGCGCAGCGGTTCCAGCCACCGCCAGGCTGTCCGAGCCAGGCCGGACCGAGCTGGGCGCACGGACCGGGCTCATCGGCTCTAATTGCGGCGCTTATGTTGGTGATGATTTTTTTTTTTTTTTTAAATCACAGCAGCCCCCAGTTTAGCGGACTGATTTACTCCCGGTATTGGTAAATATGATCACGTGGGCCGCGCGACCAATGGTGGAAGCTGCAGCCTGCGAACTAGTCGGCGGCTCGGGCGCCGGCGGGGAGCGGCGCCGCGGCGGGCAGTGTAACCTTGGGTGGGAGCGCACGGCGCCTCAAAATGTCCTCCAGTGGCACCCTCAGCAACTACTACGTGGACTCGCTCATAGGCCATGAGGGCGACGAGGTGTTCGCTGCGCGCTTTGGACCGCCGGGGCCCGGCGCGCAGGGCAGGCCCACAGGTGTGGCCGACAGCCCCGCCGCTGCCGCCGCCGAGTTTGCCTCGTGTAGTTTTGCCCCCAAATCGGCCGTGTTCTCCGCCTCGTGGTCCGCGGTGCCCGCCCAGCCCCCGGCGGCGGCGGCGATGAGCGGCCTCTACCACCCGTACGTGCCCCCGCCGCCCCTGGCCGCCGCCGCCTCCGAGCCCGGCCGCTACATGCGCTCCTGGATGGAGCCGCTGCCCGGTTTTCCGGGCAGCGCGGGCGGCGGCGGGAGCGGGGGCGGAGGTGGCCCGGGCCCTGGTCCCAGCCCGGGCCCTGGTCCCAGCCCCGGCCCCAGCGGCCCACCCAACGGGCGCCACTACGGGATTAAGCCAGAAACCGGAGCGGCCCCGACCCCTGTTGCCGCCACCTCCACCTCCTCTTCCACTTCCACGTCTTCCTCCTCCAAACGGACTGAGTGCTCCGCGGCCCGGGAGTCCCAGGGGAGCGGCGGCCCCGAGTTCTCCTGCAACTCGTTCCTGCGGGACAAGGCGGCAGCGGCGGCTGGGGGAACGGGGCCCGGGGCAGGGATCGGGTCCGGGTCCGGGGCAGGCGGCTCGTCGGAGCCCTCGGCTTGCAGCGACCGCCCGAGCCCAGGCTGCCCACTGAAGGAGGAGGAGAAGCCGCAGCCGCAGCCGCCGCAGCAGCAACTTGACCCAAGTAAGTGCAAAAGAAATTGCCCCCTGATTTATTGCTGAAACCTGTAAGGCTCGAATGTGCAAAACTGATAGTTTTACTAACCTATAAAAACGTCTAGACGCCTACTCTAGCCTAGGCAACACGTATTCATAAAAAGCTTCCCATAACCACCTACCCTAGGCGCGAGGTTTGTACGGTAAACAGAGCGCGGGCATTAAAGCTTTTTATGATAATTCCCCCCAAGTTGTGAAAAGCGGCCATCCTTGGTGAAATTAATTTAACGACCTCTCTCCCCCACCCTGTCGTCTCTCCTTGCCCCCCCTCCGCCCCTCGATCCCTTTCTCCAACCCCCCCCCCCTTCATAGACAACCCTGCAGCAAACTGGATCCACGCTCGCTCCACCCGGAAAAAGCGCTGTCCCTACACCAAATACCAGACGCTTGAGCTGGAGAAGGAATTCCTCTTTAACATGTACCTCACCCGGGACCGGCGCTATGAGGTGGCAAGGATTCTGAACCTCACAGAGAGACAGGTCAAAATCTGGTTCCAGAATCGTAGAATGAAAATGAAAAAGATGAGCAAGGAGAAATGCCCCAAAGGAGACTGACCCGGCGCGGCGCCGGCGGGACCACTCTGCGCTGCAGAGGCAGTAGGGGTTTTGTTTGTGGGTGCTTGATTTCCAGAAACTCTCCAGCGATTCGGACATTTCCTCCCCCCACCCCTTTTAGGTAGAAGTGACTGTGTGGTTGGTCTCTGTGAGGTATTTGGGGGGACTCTGTATTTGCTCGCTTACGTGTTGGAGAAACGAAGTGCTTTGGGGTTTTGCCTTTTCCCGCTCCCTCCCATTCCTAGACCGTTGGTCCATAGGAAATGCTATATTTTGTGAGTGCACGCTGGATTGAGGAGCCCTCTCCTGTGTAAATGTCCCCTATGTTTCTGAAAAGTGCTGTAGTTTAGCCCCCAGCGCTGCTCAAGCAGGGGCCAAGTGCGCCCCACTTCTGAGAATGAAGGCAGAGCGACAACAGTGGGAGGCCCGCCCAGGTTGCCCAGCAGTTAGGAAAGTCCCCTTTCCTCAGGGAGCCCGCGGGCCCTTCCCGGAGACCTGGAATGAGGCCGAGGGGGGAGCCCAGGGCCTCTGGTGGGTGGGGGGTTATTCTCAGTGCACTGGAGCAGCCAGGCTCTCCTGGGGAGGGCTTGGCTTGCGTGGGCGGCCGCGGGTGCGGGCCCTCCGGGTTCCTGCCTGAGGACCAGTTGTAAATGTTACCGCTTCCTACCAATAAAGGCTGACCTGATCAAATGGAGCCCAGGCGCTGGCCCTGAACACTCTGTGCCTGCTTTCTCTGTCTCTTTGCAAAATACCACCCCCACAGGACTTCCTCCCACCCCTGGGAGGGAGACTGCTAAAAATTTGGGGCCCTTCCACCTGAGCGGTCTGTCTGATGGGCCTCTGAGTCTCCCTTTGTGTGGGCAGAGGGGGGCCCTTGGCTGCTCTGTCCTTCCCCCAGCCTGCTTCCAGCTTCTCAGCCAACTCTGGGCCCTAGGCCCAGTGGCAGCCTTGCAGCAGTGCCCAGTGGAGCCCACGGGCCTCAGGAGCCAGGCACCCTCTCGCTGGGGCGTGGACACATCGCACCCCATGTCTCCCTCTGTTCATGGAATACCAGCCATCCAGTCCCCTCTCTCAACAAGAGAAAGGCCAACTCTGCACTCTGGAGCAACTCCCCCACCTCAACAGGCTGGCTGGCTGGCTCTGGGAGGGCTGAGCCAGTTAGGCTGTGAGCTTCCGTCCTACACACAAGAGCCCCAAAGTGACCTTAGCATATCGACGTGGTCAAGGCTCTCCTCCGCAGCTATCCCCACCCCATCTCATCGCCCCCCTTCCCCCCAACTCAGTTCCAGTGCGTGCTTAGCCCCCAGCTTGGCCCTCTGAGGGCCTCATTCAGGGGCTAAAATGAAGGTCATTGTAAGTGAAGGTTCGGGCCCAGCACAGCCTTTGCAGGCCCGAGAATGGGTGGCGCCGGGTGGACTGGGCTGGGTGGAAGGGGGGGGCGATGGCAGAGTTTGGGGGATCCTGATGAAAGAGGGGACTTGAAGGAAAAGCAGAGGGGGGCTGGGAGGGAAAGCCAAGGCCCAGATCCGGCAGAAGGTGCAGCGTACCCCCGCCCCTGCGGCCAGCCCGATACCTAGGGCTCTTTGAAAACAGGAAGAGCCAAGGTGTCATAAAGCCATCTAGCCGGCGAGACGTCTGGAGGTAATGAGTTTACGACAGGCTTGGCGCTTCGCTTTGAAACCATCTCATTTTGATGTTGTGTTTGTGGGAGGAAGGGAAAAATGCAGACAAGACTGGGTCTTAAAATCTGGACAATAAAATATAAACAAGACTGTGTTGGACCAAGAAGGCAGAGGGACTTGGGAGCCCCCGGTGAGGTGTGAGCACCTAGGAAATAAAAATGGGGGAGGGTAGGAAAGAGGAGATGATGTATTTCTGATTTTTAAAATGGGCCGTGAATTAGAATTAGCCTATGGTGGGTGGCTCTTTATAATATTTCACTATGGCGGCAGTCTAGTTTGTTCTTTTCTTTCTTTCTTTTCTTTTTCTCTTTCTTTCTTTCTTTCTTTTTCTTCCTTCCTTCCTTCCTTCCTTCCTTCCTTCCTTCCTTCCTTCCTTTACTTTTTAATTTGCCTGTTATTTGGAGGTGGGAGAAGTTAGTGATCTTGAGTCATTTACTCAAGCCGAGGGTCTCCCAGCTGAATTGTCGCAGGGTCAGCAGGAAAAAATGAAGTTCTTTAAATGCCCTTTCATAAAAGTACCTGGCCCTCCATTCCAAACTTTGCAGCAAAAGTTTTGTTGTATTTTCTATTTGCTTATAGAAAATGTAATCGTTACACCTGAATTGGAAGAAAACATTTTTGAAATTGGAAGAAAATATTTTTGAAATTGAGAAAAAAGATTAACCTCAAAGGAGACACCTAAGCTGATTAAAGTCTTTGCTTTAACAAAAATTCAAGTGGAACGCTTAGTCAATTTATTTCACTCTGTGACTTTTGATATAAGTTTAAAATCTCATTTATTGTGTATAGAAATGCCAATAAACACAGCCCAACAGGGCCTTTCCAGATAGCCGCTCAGAGATCCAGCAAAAAGCTTTTAATTTGGTTTCTATTTCTGCCATCCCCCATCCCCAGATTGCCCAGCGAAATGGGCCTGAAGGATTAAAAATCAGAAGTTAAAATAATATTCAGGATTTTATGCTGAGCAACAGCTTTAAAAGAAAATAATAAAATGAACTTCTATCATTTCTTCGTTTTCAAAGTGCCTGGCTCCTCTGACAAAAAAGCCTGTTGTAGTTGATATTTAGAAAGTTGTAATTTTTGTTCAGTCCAGCCCATCTTATAATTGTGGACGATTACGGAATGGGGACCTACTGTGTCTGGCAAAAGAAGGGCTGGAAGCTTTTGAAAAAGACACTATTGGAAGCTCTCTCGGGAGTACAAATATCTTTGGCGTTCAGGAGCCACTGCTTGCTGCACTTGACTTGTTGACAATCAAAGGGGTGAAGCATTAATAGTGTCCGCGATCCAAGCCCTAGTCAAAATAAAGAACAAGATTAGAACTGGTTTGAGCCGATAAAGGGAAGTTAAACTCGGTCGACTGGAGGCGGCATTTTGCCACTAGAGAGCGCTGTTGCTCCACTTTGTGATCTCGTAAAGCCGGCGTAGCGGCGAGGAAGGTTTTGATTTAAAATATTTACAATCTTATTTTTAATTCTAAATTAGGATAAACTTAACCAAAAAGAAGCATTGTACACTATTAAATTTTCCAGGCGTGTTTGTTAGGTATAAAATTTTGGATCAGTCAGGATTTCAGAAAATTTGGACTATGGCACAGCTGAAACTGTAAAATGTTATGGTTAAGTTAATGCATTCTATCAAAACAAACGTGTAAAAAAGCATAGATCTTTATTTACAAAGTTAATCGCGCTCTTTTCGCATTCAGATTATAAACAGAATGCTTGGGGTGGGGGCGAGGAGGAACTAAGTGTTTTGTCCCAAGAGGAAATGTTGTGTTGTAATGCTTTCTTAATTAGGCCAGAATGTGTAGAAATAAATTTCGTAGTATTTGTGTTTCTTTTCTGCGCCCCCCCCCCCGAAATCACACAGTTCTGGAAGGTGCCTTGTATTATTGACATCTGGGCTCGCTCTTCTTTTTCCCCACTCTGTTCCAAAACCCACTCATTGATTCAGCGCTTAAATATGCACAAGCGCACACGCCAAACACTGAAATTAAAAAAGCCCCAATTACAAAGTTGGTTCCAAGGCTTTATTGAGAATAATTCTCTTTTAATTAGGTATTTGCAAGATTTAAGTACAAATCGTTAACTATCAGAATCAGTTTGTTCGCCTTCGGATTTCAAGGAAGTTTTACCTGGCGATATCCGGCAGAAAACAACAACAAACCCGCCTCCCCCCGGCCCCCAGTGTCCTCCACTCCCTACTAATTTAAAAAATAAAGCATGACTTTATCATCTGGAAATTCATTAACAATCCGTTTACCTTGACCATTTCCAGCCATTCCCCTAGAAACAACTGAAAGAGTATTAGACATTGTACTTTTGCCTTTCCACCGCGATCTCATTTTCTCCATTTGCAAAATATGATTCAGTCCACACGGATTGACCTCAGGATCGTACTCACGGACTGGACCAACCCACAAGGAGTAGGGGGTAGTTGAAGTGACTCGTCTGCTGCGCCCTTGGGGGCCGTCTCGGGTTCTTAGATATTTGCATTTGGCGTGAAATGCCGGTGTGGTGTATTTTAGCTGTGGCGGGAGCGCCCTCCGTGGGCTCGGGGCATGTTTCCGAGGTCGGTTCCCAAGGCTGGTGTGGGCCTGGTGCCCTCACAACAATGGATTATCCCTAAGGGAAGGGGGCCCCGGTCATGTAAAGAGCCCACGAAAAAGGCCGAGTGGGCGAGAGAAAACGCACTCAACATAAACTTATTACATTTATTGGACGTTAATACGGGAGTCGAGAGGGAGAAAAAAGAGGTATGAGGGAGAGTAGACAGTCGGTGTTAACGGCGAGCGGGCTTCTAAAATCAGGAATATTTTGCCGATTCAGACTCGACTTGCCCACATGACTTGGGACGTTTCTCTTCCTCATCGCTCAAGCTGGGATGAGGCTTCTCTTTCCTTTCTTTTGGAAAAATTAGTAACTTTCTAAGCTGAGTCCAGCGCCCGCTCTCAGCAGTAAGTTCATAGGCTTGGCAGATGAATTAGAATCATTAGCAGACGATGGGCGCCGCCTTCAGCTGCCTGGAACCGGCGCGATCCGAACACCGGCCCTGAGGCTCGAAGTGGGGACTCGCAGGCGTCGGCCCCCCGTGCTCCGCCCGGGGCCACCGCCTGCCCTGGTCCGCTCCGGGCCGGGGGTGAGACCCGGGAGCCGCGCGTCCTGCTCGAGGAAATACCACCCACCCCAGCGTGAGTTCTCTCCTTCCCGCCTTGGAACATCCTGTCCGCTTTTCTATTTACTCCCTCAGCAATGCCAATCTGCCCCCCCTTTCATCGCCCCACATTCTTCAGTTTCCCCCCCGCGCCTGGTGCTGACGTCTATCAAGGGTGAAATGATGGAAACTATATTCATGGGCATGATTTCCATTAAATATCAATTAACCTGGGAGCCTCAGCCAGGCGTGCAGTGCGTCAAGGGTAAATGTACATCTCATTTCCACAAGGCCTGCCCGCCTAGAAAAGAAGGGCCTAGATTCGCTTTGATAATGCCAGGTTTGGGGATCACCCTTGTGGCCTTTAATCAAACCACTGAGGACCCAACCCAAACGTACACGGTCCGGTTTGTCTACACTATTTGCCTTGTTCCCTGGGCTGCGCCCGCGTGTCCA